TTAGCCTTGAGCTGAAGAGCTGAGGGACAGCGCCCAGACCGAGTTCAGGCCCCACGACTGGACCCAAAAACAAGAAAAAAAGAAAAAAAAAGAAACATGAATTGAAAGCAGGGAGAAATGCTAAGGATGAGAAGATGGCAGGAGGAGGGCAGAGGTGAAACAGAAGCCTTGGAACTATAATTCACAGCTTCACAATTGTATAAAATTTTTTCTCTTTATGGATAGCTTTCCAGAAGCAGAATTACTAGGTGAGAGTAATAATAAACTATTAAGAACTTCATAATGTTTGAGCACTATGATTTTTTTCTTTTTATTTTGTCTACACTGGGAATCTAGGTTGATTTTAGGCTAGGAGACTGAGGTTGAAACAATAGGGAGAGAGAGCATATAAGTAAGCACTGCCTGTCAGAGCTGCTGAGTTAAAGAAGGCTCCAGTGATATATGGGATGTGGTACACTACTAGCTAGCAGAGCAGTGCTGCCCAAGAGAAATACAACATAGGCCTCAATCTAATGTTACATTTTCTCTCAATCACATATTTGAAAAAGGAAAAAGAAAACAGGTGAGATAAAATTTAATAATATATTTTATTTCACCTGTTATCATTTCAACACGTAATAAACATTTAAAAATTAGGATGTCTTACATCTTATAGGCAAGCCATAGTGTTTCATGCTATGACACCTGTCAATTTGGACATGTACATTTCAAGCACTCAGTGACCACATGCTGGATAGCACAGCACTAGTTAGCTTCAAGGACAAGAGTGTCACACTGACATCTTGCCCCGTTTCCTCTGGGCCACTTTTGCACATGGACAAGGAGACTCATAACTTCTACCCTGTAGAAGTTTGCTGATGGCAGAGGGTGATAACATACATATAGCACCAAGCTTGTCCACGGCACATGGCATGTGTAAAGCAATCCTACGGCACAGTGAAGTCATTGTAAAATGAACACTGGTCATCTACCCTTGCCATGTAAGAAGCCAATGACTGCTAGACACCAATGATGCTTTGTAATAAAGTGCTCATCTTTGAAACAAAAATTGTTATTTATCTTACATAGAATGCCTGTTATTTCCAATGTTTTGTTATAACTTGGCTAAGGAATGAACTGGAAACTAAAAAAAAAAAAAAAAACTGTGATTACTGATGGTAAGCATTAAAAATGCTCCATAAAAGACTATTAAACAATGTGATGTGTATCAAACTACCTGGACATAATTATTTCTACGTGGAGAATGTGTAAATGAGTAAAAAAAACCTTCAGACTGATTCAGTATTACACAGCACAGACTGAATGAGTAGTGTACTACATCCCATATATCACTGTAGCCTTCTTTAACTCAGCAGCTCTGACAGGCAGTGCTTACTTATATGCTCTCTCTCCCTATTGTTTCAACCTCAGTCTCCTAGCCTAAAATCAACCTAGATCCCCAGTGTAGACAGAATAAAAAGAAAAAAATCATAGTGCTCAAACATTATGAAGTTCTTAATAGTTTATTACCCTCACCTAGTAATTCTGCTTCTGGAAAGCTATCCATAAAGAGAAAAAAATTTATACAAAAATGTTAGTTGAACCATGAATTCTGAAAATCTAGAAACAATATAAATATGCAACAATCAAAAATTTGTTCAATTGAAGTTTGGAAGTGTGTTTCAGGCAGTAGAGTGCTTGTCTAGCAATAGCAAAGCCCCGAATTCAAATCCCAGGACCACCAAAAAAGAAAAAGGAAATGTATAAAGTATACCCACTTATATAGTATTACACTGACGTTAGACTATAATTAGGAAGTTCTGAGTTAAACAAGAAGAATTATATCATATGCTAAATGGGGAAAACCCTGTACCTACAGAATGACTGAAAAAAAAATCTACAAAAGTTAAATGGAAATGAAGGAAGGAAATATACCAAAACAGGAATCATTTAACAAGGATATAGTGAAACAATGGCTCATGAGTATCCTTTTTCTCTAGAAAACGTGAAAAATAAGAAATTATGAAGCTTCTATCATTTTATAACAGCAAAACAAAGGAATTATTAAAATGTTGACAAAGAATAAACTAACAAAGGACAAATCATTTCTTTCATAAAAATAACACAAAGTTGCCATCTAAATCTCTAAACCTCATCCAGATGTGAAATGGGAAGAGTGAGCCCTTGTCCATTTCTGAGGTGGAGGAAATAGGACAGAAATCTTGTAGAGCCCCTCCTCCTCCTCTCAAGTGAAGTCCAGAGCAGGGAACCTTTACCTTAACAGCTCCACCACTGCATTCACATAAATACCCATTCTAAAAAAAATCTGTTTTCAATAATATTTTATTATTGTAATATTGTAGAAAAATCATACACAGAAAAAAATTAAAACTTACCCCCTTCCAGAAATTGCTGTTACAATTTAGAGTTCACATACACACACACACACACACACACACACACACGTGGGTATTCTATCCCATTCAGTCCCAGCACTTGAATATACAAACTATATACTGATGATTTCCACATTTATATCCTGAGACCAAACCTCCCAGAATGCCCTGGGATAGGGTGGTTTTGTAACAGGTCCACAGTCTTGGATGTTTCTACTTTTAAACAGAAAGAACTTAAGCCCGCTTGCTTTGAGTGCCATTTAATTGCCCACTCATCGTTTATGCCTCAACATACATCTCAACCTTCCCATCTCCGAAACTGAACTCATCTTTATTACCAAGCCAGGCCCTCCTCAGACACCCTGTACTAATGACCTACTGCTTTATATCTAATTCGTGACTGGCCTCAGTTCCATGGAACATGAGGATCCCAACTCATGATATGGCAACTGCTTCCCATGAGTGGCCCTAAAAAGACAGATAAAAAAGATACAATGCTTACTATAACCTAGTGCCAAAGCCTATACATCATCACATCTACTATAATCTGTTCATTAGAAGCACGTGACTAAGTCCAAACCACACTCAAAGCAAGGGGGCTTAAGTTCTGTTTAAGAGTAGAAACATCCAAGACTGTGGACCTGTTACAAAACCACCCTATCATCTCAGCAGATTGAAGTTCTATTTTAGACACTCGGGCCCTTCAGTCATTCTAGTCTTCTCCTTCATCCTCAACTTCAATCAACACATTGGGAAATCATGCTTGTTCTACTTTTGAATACCCAAAGGTAAAACCACTGCTACTTGCCCTAAGGCTCTGAAGGACATGTAGATCACTGCTGAAAGAGGAGCACACTCTCCTGCGTCTGCTTTGCCCATACAGCCCCCTCAGCAAGCAGCACCATCCTCTTAAAACTTCAGCCAGATCATGTGACTCCAAACTGCCTAGACCCCCTCCTCAATTCCTCAAGACCTTCTGATTCTGCTCATCTTCTCAAGGCATTCTTTACTTAGCGTACTGTGCAATATCTGACCCTGCTTTGCTTTCTGCTGTCTGCTTCTTACTGAATAAAAACTGGGAGAGCAGGTGTCCCGATGTGTTCTATTCAAGAGAAGCACAATTAGTGTGTTGAAAAATAAACACATAGAACTTAAAGGAAAAATAAACACATAGAACTTAAAGAACAATAAACAGAACTTTTTTAAGTTAATAAGCATGCATGTAGTGAACATTTTCCAGTACCACTTTTAATGGCTAGGCAGATGGCTATATGGTTAAATCCCAATTTACTCAACCAATTCTCAATTATTGGATATTAACATAGTTCACAGCCTTTCCCCAGTACAGATACTGCACTGAAAATCTCCTAACTCTTCCACTGAGCCACCTACCCAGCCCCGTAGTGGGTATACTATTAATGAACTTAAATTATCCTATCTACAAAACTGTGAAGCTTAGAGATAGTGCATAAAGGACTGGGCACCAAGACAGCGCATAAAGGACTCAGCCCTCTGCTTACACAGTGCAAAGCTCAATAAAATGTTCAGTTGATTGTTTCTACAATAACTACAACTTGAGCAGAGTGTCCTACGTAGTATTACAGATACAGCCTATAACTTATGATACCGTATTTTAAATTCGCCCTCTTTTTGTGATACTTCAATCTTAACGCAGGGCTTGGCCCTTGCTCAGCTGGTGCTCTGCCACCCGCGCTGCACTTCCAGCCATGCTTTTTGCTGGTCTTTTGGAGCCAGGGTCTGAGGACTTTTATGGCTGGGCTGGCTTCGAACTGTGACCCTCCAGATCTCAGTCTCCTAAGTACCTAGGATTGCTAGCGAAAACTACAAGCGCAGAGCTTCCAGCTGGGTCTCGGTTCCATTTGATTACGGGGCGTGGGGCTGGAGACAGTGCTGCCTGCAGCGCCCGAGCGGCCGCGCCCCTCCACCTCCCTCCTCCTCCCGTTTCTCGGTGCAGACGCAAACTTTCTCCGCGGTGCGAAGAGAACGGAAGGGCGGGAGGCGGCTGCGCGGTGCGCTGCTCGCTTCAGGTCCCCGGTGCCCGGCCGCTCTCTCCAGCGAGGAGCCCACGAAGGACCCGCCGGGAGCCGGCAGCGAGCGCCGCCCTGGAAAAACACAGAATACAGCGGCAACTTCCTCCGCGCATCCCTGGGACCCCGGGGGGGGGGGGGGGGCCCGCGCAGGCCCGAGGTGCGCAGGCGCCGCGCTCCGTGCGCACCTCCAGGACCCGCGCGGGCTGCGTGAACGCCGGCGGGGTGCCCGGCCCAGCCTCGCCCCGTGCCCCGCAGGGGCTGCGTGAACGCCGGCGGGGTGCCCGGCCTGGCCTCGCCCCGTGCCCCGCGCGTGCTGCGTGAACGCCGGCGGGGTGCCCGGCCCGGCCCGGCCTCGCCCCGTGCCCCGCGGGGGCTGCGGGACCGAGGTTTCAGTCTAGGCACGGCCGGGCCCGCTACTGAGGAGCCCGGACGCGCACGGGGAGCCTCCGGCACCGCGGCTCCGGCCCTGGCTCCGGGCCAGCCGGCGGGGATGACACGGCGCGCCCCGCTGACGCGCGGCCCCGCGCCCGCAGCCCCGGTCGCACGCGACGCTCGCCCAGCTCGCGACACCCACCGAGCTCCTCACAGGCCGCCGCCCCGGCCGCCGGCGCCGCCGCTTCCATCTCTCCGGGGTCTCCAGGACGCCGCCGTGCCGGGGCTGGCCCTTCCTCCGCTGCGTGGCGCACGTCAGGCCGAGGCCTCGGCAGCCCCACCAGACCCGCACCCGGCACCGCCTCCCGGCCCGGCGCCCCGCCTAAGCGCTCGGCGCCTGCGCAGTGAGGCCCGGCGCGGGGAGGGGGGGAGAAGCGGGGGAGGATGGAAGGGGGGGAAGGGAGGGAGGCGGGCGCGCTCCCAGGGGCTACCCGCGCTAGGACTCAGCCCAAACCTCAGGCAGCCGCCGCGGAAGCTGGGAGGCCCCGGCGCGCGGGGCCGGCTGGGCCTGGGCTCCCGGAGCCAGCGGAGGGTCGCCAAGCCTCAGAGCCCGTGGTCACCGTGAGTACTGCGGAGCGGGCGGAGGTGCGCGGCCCGCGCCGGGGCCCTGACACTCGGACGCCCGAGGGGACCGGCGGCTCCGCAGACTCCCGAGAGTGTTCGTGTGGCGCACGTCATCCACCCTGAACGCCCATCGCGGCGCCTCCCCGCGCCCGACGCCGCCGGTCCTCGCACGCACGCCGTCGGCGCGAGCCTCTGGCCGTCGGTGAACTCACGCACATACCGTCGGCGCGAGCCGGACAGTAAGTGCGTTTGAGAGAGACGGGGCGGGGGCCCGGGGGGAGTTGGTGGAGGCCCGGGAGGCCCAGTGTGGGGCTTCTCCCGCCGTCCTCCCCCAGCTGCAGGCTGAGGGCCGTCGTGGGAAGCCCGGGGGACCACAGGGACGAGAATTATCCGCCATGTGTAATTCCTACCCACTTAGCGGTTCTTCCTTCTTCACCCGAGGGCATGTCTGAGCCACAGAAAGCCTCTCATCCTGGCAGCAACCTGCTTCGCCGCTGCGATGAGCGCAGAGGGCCTGCGCGCAGAGCCAGCCGCCTCCTGAACACCCAGGTCAGCACCGCCGAGTCGATCCATGCAGCACACTTTTGATTTGAAAAGAAAATACGATCTTAATTCGAAACGCGGTACTGCTCAGGACCCAGGACAACTCTTGGGGGCTCTTGACTTCTAGGACCATCAATACAACTGTATTACATGTATTACATTCTAGGCTTTCACTAGATCGATAAATAGTACTAGGTTGTGTTTGGAAACACTCTCCACGAGTGTGAAATCAGTCTCCAAAATCTCACACATTTGCACCAGCAATTCCCAAAAGGAGTTTGATTTGAGTCATCCTAACAAATAATGAAGATGCAGATTCGACAGGAAAAAAATCTGCTGAACCATCAATAGGATAATGATCCCCAACCCATGTTGGAAATGTCACCTGATTAAATATTGAGTGGAAAGAAGACCTGAAGTGATAGATCACAGGTAATTATAATGACACCCTTAGAACAAAGCAGAACTTTATCTTCTGAATGTTGAAAGGGATCAAAACCCAAGGTCTCCAGTCTCAGGCCTTGGGAAAGCAGAGTTGACAATATGGAAGGGAAAAGCCCCTCCATATGGTACATGAAGGCCTGAGCCTCTTTGGAAACCTGTGGTTGAGGCAGACAACTAACTTCAGTTTATCTAGAGTGATAAGACAATAAGCCAAGTGATAGGAATAAGGTTCAAGAGAATTGTGCTTTCCATACATCATTACTAGAGCACACATTTGCTGTCACTTGGGTTCCAGGTCATAGGAATTATAAAGGCATGCAGTAGTAAGCCTAATCTGAGGAGTGTATGTTCCAAGACCACAGCAGATACATGACATTGCAGGTACTACTGAACCCTATGTACAGTTTTTTCCTACATACAAACTTAAGGCAGTGTTTAATTTATATATTAGGTACAGAAAGAGTTTAACAACAGTAGCTAGTAGTAAAATAAAATACAACCTTATGCTATAATAAAAAAATCCATAAATCTTTGCTGTCTCAAAATATTTTCTGGTACTATATTCACATTTCCTGAGATAATGTGAGATGATGGTACAATGCCAGGGACTAAGATAGGGCAACCTGATGGCTTAGGTCTTGCGAGGTACTATCTACTACCTAATGGTCACTTAACACATGCCCTATAGTACCATGTCGTGCATCTGATAACCAAGACAGCCACTGAAAAACTACTGGGAAAGTAGTGTATACTACAAGGACACTCTGAACAGTTGAGCTGTTTGTGTTCAGGCATGAGGTAGGGGGCTGATGGAGCAAGATATGTCATCACAATACTCAGAATGTGACAGGACTTTTAAAATAGGATTTTTTTCTGGAAATTTCCAGACAATATTTTCAGACCACAGCTGGCCAAGGTTAAGTGGAAACTATGTCTGATTACATCCTACAAATTACTATTGTTACAGTTCAAACTATAGAAGAGCTGCTATAGGAGAATATCATAGTCACCACTTTAATCTATAAAGCAAGGAAAGGCTTAGTATTTCCTTAACCCACAGAATCAAGGATTTCCTTGTCATAAAGATGTGGAAACCTGCACTGTAACTTACCTGTGGCTGCTGTTCTTGGCTTCATTAAGCAATTAGGTACAGTTGATGGAGTGAGAAAAATAAAGTGCTTCTAATGATTCTAGGGCATCTTAGTTCCACCAGCTGCTCTCCGTAAGGAAGTCATTGGTCAAGATGCACTGTGCTGATAGACATGTTGAATTGGAGCACTTTTGTACAACTACAAAACGTTAGGGAAAGTTTTTAAAAAAATAGATGTTATAAGGACTGATGATGAAGACTGAATATTCCTTTCTCTCTTGTTCCTGACTTTAACTTCCTGGATCATATCCTAATTAGTTCCTTCTTTGCAACCACAACAGTTTGTTCCTGTCTTTATCTGAAGACTTCTCCTTTTCTTACACTTTCCCTGCTTGGGCCTTATGCTTTCCTGTCAGGCTGGAGATAAGTGTATTTATTTGTCTTTCTCTCAATATGTGCCCTGCACATATTAGTTACTCAATAAATAGATGATGGGAAGCATGGCACATAGCCTCATAGATATAGGAAAAGAAATACCTGTAGTCTTTCATTTATTCAAATGAAGAAAAGAAGGGAGTGCTTCCTTGGGAAGGGATTATAATGACTAGCTAACACTATAGTTCAGTAGTATGCAAAAAAATTAAGCAAGCCAGGCATTAGTGGCTCATGTCTACAATGCTACCTGCAGGAGGCTGAGATCTGAGGACCATGGAGTTCATAAGATTCTTATCTCCAATTAACTACCCTTAATCCAGAAGTGAAGGTGTGGCATCCTTGAGCAAAAAAGCTAAGGGACAGCAACTCAGGCCTTGAGTTCAAGCCACAGTGCTGGCACACATACACACACGTAGAGGAAAATACTACATAAATGATCATAATTGTTGAAGAGGAAAATAACAAGGTGTTCTCAGAGAACATATTTATACTGAATAGGCACAAGTCATCTGTGAGACCTCAAGGTGAGAAAGAGTGGTCACATTCTAAATGCGTGTGGTGCAGAGAAACTCAGGCTGTGTGAACACTTGTGGAGCTCTGTCTTGAGACCCAACCCTGGGTCTCAACACTCACCTATATTCATAGAAAATGACATTATAGATAGAAAAAAGGGAAATTAACTTATTTATAGTTTTAGCCCAAACTCTGGAAATAGAAATTTTCAGCCTCTCTTTGGCTTGTTCATAGCAATATCACTAAGATGAAGCGGAAGGCAGGAAATATGGATAAGTAAAAGTTCTCTTCCAGGAGTTGAATTTTTCCTTCTGAAGTCTGTCTTAATATTTAAGCTTTTTTTAATTTAAATTTTAACCTTTCACTCCCAGAATGCAGTTCTTCTAGAGAAGCCCTAATCTCTGGTTGCCTCATGACAGCATTTTACAAAATGGAGAAGTAGTTCTGTTTTAGAAGTATTGATTTGAGAACCTGTGGAACACCTTGAGCAACTTGTCTATTCATGGTGTTTGAATGTCTAACGTTTTCTCATGTTTAAGATTACATTGCCAGCTTTACAGGTTGTAGTCATCATCTAGTAAGGTCAAGTATATCGTCACTATCACATATCCTGATTTGCATAAAGAATCAAATCAACTGGACTGGTTGGTTAAGATATTATTATTATTACAATTGAGAGGCCAACTCAAAGTGGCTTAAGCCCAAAACAAAAAATATCAAAAACAAAATACAAAAAAGAGATGAGAAATGAGGGTCAGCTCATTTCTCATCCTGATACTGTGAAACTGAAATCTGTAACAACTACTTTTGCTATGAAGCATGGAGAGAGAGAGAGAGAGAGAGAGAGAGAACGTACTAGGGCTTGAACTCAGAGAGAGCCTAGCTTTTTCACTCAAGGCAGAAAGTAACTACAGCTGTACTTCTGGCTTTTTGCTGGTTATTTGGGGATAAGAGTCTGGCACATTTTTCTGCCCAGGTAGCTTTGAACCTTGATCCTTGGATCTTAGCTTCCTAACTAGCTAGAATTACAGCCACCAGTACCTAGCTGAAACACTAGCTTTTCACTTGGACCTACAACTTAACTGAAAGCAGAAGAGAAGCTCCCCCTTTCTCTCTCCCTTCCCCCTCCTTTATTTCTCTCTCCTGAAATCCCTCTGGGTTGTTCTAGGAAGGTCTGAATGGCTTGCTACTGCTTTTATGACAAGGGATGGAGGACAAGGAGAAAGATAGCCTCATCTGTTAGATAGACCATGTCAAACAAGGGCAGTCACCTACAGTGACGAGTCTGTCACAAGACTGGATTGCTTGTCTCAGGTGATGTCAGCAATAAGAACTCCAGAACTCAGAAGAACCAGAACTGAGATAATGACCACATTTCTCAATACTGCTTAATTATGTAAACCTTTCTTCCCTGCCTCAGTTCTTCCTCTCTTTAAATCTAAAGGTCATGTTTATACATTGAAAATACTTTATTTGGCAGATGGGAGCTGTGAGTGGCAAACTCTGACCTGAGGAGCCTTGGAGTTGGGCCTGTGACTCTTAAACATCTGCCTGTGTACTTGTACAGGTCTCACCCATAACCCCTCTCTCTCCTCTGTGCACCTGGCAAGAAATACATCCTAAAAACTCCAAATCTACATAGCTTCATTGTCTAGAAAGTACTGATTCCTTTTTCCTAGTTCCAACTTTAAAATTTC